AGAGAGAGAGAGAGAGAGAAGAAAGAAGTCAAATAAAGTTGTTGAATTGTGATCTATTTCTAATTTCTAATATATTTAAGAATACTTCATCCTAAATGCCATATAAATGACAAATTATGTGTAAAATTTTGACCAATAAATTTAAAACAACTCGAATACAAATTATTTTTAAATATTACTAATAATAATAATAGTACTAATTGTAGTCAACAAAAATTGGCTGAAATGTCGTATTATAACGTTGCATTTAACTCAAATATTATAACTCAAGCTTCAATATTTTTTTATTCTATTATCTGCTTGGTTCTTTTGAAATTTTCTTCAAAGCAGCTTTAGTATATCCGTTCGGCAACATCATGTGCAGAAGGAAGGGAAGTACCCTTGGTCCATTATCGACGAATTTTACGCCTCGTCGATCGTCTCTGCGATTTCACTGCCGCGCGTATCCGGCGGCGAAGAAGGTTTTTCGGTTTCCTTTTAACGATTCGATGCGCCTGAAGCCTCTTAGTTTATTTCCTTTATCAGATTTCCTAACTCGCTTCTTTCCGCTGATAAAACTGAGCCGCGTTTGATTTCTGTTACAAATAAGATCTTGACCGCAATCTCTTGCCAAGTACCTTTGAGAATTAAACTCAAATTCTCCATTACATTATATTAATCGCAGCTGCAAATAATCGTATAATGTTTTACAAGAAGAAATAAAAATATGTTTTAAAGAAAATACTTCTATGTCTTATCATAAATTATAAAATGTGCGGATTTTGTGAGAGAAGACACTCAAGTATGTACTCTCGACTTTAAAATCAATTATAAAAAAGATGAAAATTCCGATGTGCATTTTTAAAAGGAGATTGCTGAAAAAAAAGAAGATTGTTGAAATAATAATAAAAAAATACTTCATTGACGACAATAATATTTCATTTCTTGCATATAATTCATTGATTTACTTAAGATTTAAAGATTGCAAGTAAATAGAAGAAGATACAGAGAGAAAATAAGCTTTTTCTAAAATAATGTATTTTAATATCGCAACGAAAAATAAAATGTTTGATATATATGTATACATATATATTTTTAAAAGTAAGTATTAGTATCGAAAGATACTTGTTGTAAATATATAAACCGATGATTCTCAAAAGATTGAAAATTATATTTCAAAGAGTTTCACCTAATTGAGATGTCGAATTTCAGACATAATCAAACAAATCGATGAATAGAAGACTTCTTCTAGAGAGTTTCAATATTCTGTGAAATTTTCGAGCTATGCTAGAACATTTAACGTTAGTGCTGACTTCGCTGTTAATTTCAGACAGCTGACTGCCTCGACTGATATGATCGATGAACATGATGAAAGAAAGCTCATGAATACGATGTGGAGAATTATCGAGAAACGATTTTAAAACTCTAATAACATTATTCCGCCACAAATTCATCAATCGATACTGATTGGACTTTCCGAATGACACAATCGGATATTCAATATGTCATCTCTTTTATTTTCCAGCTATAATATTCTTTAATTGTTTTAATGATGTTGTATTATTGTCACACTTAATTAAACGAAATAGGGATACTCGCAGCTTTGTTTACGCAAAACACATTTATCAATTTTCATTTTCTAGTGTTAATAATGTTAATCTTTCTAAAATTCTGCGAGTTCTCGAGGCTTTAAATTTAATTTTTAATTTGTGTAAATAATTTGTGTGGGAAAAAATTGCATCTTTTTTCCTGTCAGATAAAAAACAACCAATCGCGTCTTTGCTCGAGCAAGTACTGGTATAAGTTTTCAGTCTCTGTTCCTATAACTTCATAGATTTCATAAGTAGATTACATTTTCTATTTGCAATATCCTGCGATCAATAGACAGAATAAACACGACCTCGATGAGACTGGAAAATTCAGACTATAATCTAACGGCTGAAGACAATAAGAGTTCTGTAACGTGTTCTACTTTTTTCCTTGGTGTAAATTTATTGGATTCACTGGAGCACACGGATAGACTGTGCGATAATTTATTGACATTCGGCTCCGCCGTTAGTCTGATATAAAAACGTTATTACACCTATAATTGGTTTCGTATTTAGTGATTTTATTTATAGATAAAATGTACATCCAATATTTATAAGTATTCTAGCTTATGTCATCAGAAGATTAAAAAGGAAGATTTAAATGCTGATAGCAATATTACGTTTCACGTTTTATGATCCTACCTTATGCTTTCATGATAAACATTATTTAATAAATCTAGCTTATAGTTGTATATAATTTATTAATACTATTAATTTACATATTATGCAGAGACCATATATACTTTCTTAAAGCCTTTGTTTTAATTGTGTTCATGTCAAATTAAAACGCCCATCGTGTTAAGTGTGCTATTTTACTCGAATCTTTTATTAAAAAAATTTAGTTCAATATTATATAAATTAATTTATATATGCGAACTTGTATATGCGGATATTATAAATCTCAAATTTTTGTAAGCGTGATCTTAACAATTAGTACAATAATAAAATTTAAAAAAGTAGCGAGATAAGAAGTTTTGCACACGTTTGCAAAATATAAGACAAAATATTCGCAATTATTTGTCAAAATACCGTAAATAAATAAACGATCGATTTCGATATCCCGCGTAAATATACATTTGATTTCGTGTATGTGTACGTCCGTGCAAATATTAAATTTTAAGACTATATATATAGTATCCATGCGTGGCGCGTAATAGAAATCATTTTTCGGTAATTCGTATGCGAAATTTGTCCGCGAACGCGTTTGCCATGCGGGTTGCCGATTTGCATAGAACGGATATTCGCGAGTGCTCGGGGGCGCCGAATTTGCAAATCTCTCCACGCGCCGAAGTTCAGATACGAAAGGAGCTTTTTGCTCTGTCAATTCCACAGGTTACCTCTCGCGAGTTTCGCAGAGTTTCACAGTCGGTGTCGTTCGACGATCGATACTTGAATTGAGGGGAGACAAATGGAACATAGATGAACATGTGAGCTCGCGCGTGTGGAGAGAAGCTACAGTTCTCTATTCGCGGAGACGCGAAGAAATCAGTATGCGTGAAGGCATTTACGATGGAATTTCGGTATCGTGTGGGAGACATGTTTATCTCTCCGAATTCTTTAAATCGTCGAGACGTCAACGTGTTCGCGTAGAATTCGTGCGATGACTCATCAGACTGTCTCAAAAGATATCCCAAAAATGCGAAATAAGAATGAATTTTACGCCTGTATTGCGTAATGTTCGCAGAGATCGATAAGTATTTTCTTCAATCGGCAGAGCTGTCGATTCCCTCCTGATGTGAATAAGGATCGACCGATGATTTCATTTTTATTAGAAGGTACTGGCTCTCCGACTGTTTCGGTAAATCCGCATTAGAGTCATTATCACTGCAGATCCTCGTCAATCGTTAGATCGCGCAGCAGCAATAAGAGGGTAAATATCAAAGTTCAAGGGAAGAAATTCGCGGTCGGAGCAAGGATAAAGCACCGTTAAGGGATTTTAGTGCCTCCCTACGAGAAAAGCTGCGAGCCAAGTGAATAAAGGCGAAAGAGGACAAATGGTGGATAGAGAAAGCCGCAAGCACGTTTATCGAGTCAATGCATGGCAACCACTAGAAGAACAATGAGTCCTAAATACCGCCGACTCCGCCTCGACGTTGATCGCTAGTCGTCCGTATCCCTTTCTCCATTCTCCGATATTTTCCGCTGACAGTTCCACAGTTTGTCTTTCTTGCAGCAGGCGGTTTCTTCAATGATTCAAGACGACGACGACGATTTAAGAAAACTGATACGCTGTGCATGGAAATATATTATTCCACATACAGCACACGCGTATATTTTTAAAGAATTTTACGTGTCCCCCCAAACAAAAATGTTTCAAAATGTTATATGGTTGAAAGAGCGATAGACATCAGAGTCAGGAATTATTTTGAGATAAACTGCAGGTAACGTCAACATTTATTCAAATAGAAGTACTAACGTTTTACTTTTACACTGGATTTTATTATATGCGGTTTCTTTTTGCCCGTCAAAGTGGTCGTACTTTCTGAGCGAGCAAACATACGGATTTTTCATTATTTTGAAAGACTTATAGATATGCGTTTTACAAATTTGCAATAAATGTTAATTAATATTATGTCTACTCGAAATTTAATAAAATTTATTTTGACTCAATTCAAACGTGCCTATTTTTTTACGTTTCGTGAGCATCGAGAATTATCGATAAGACAAGCCGTTATATATATAATTAATATGTAACGACTATAATTAAACGTAATATACTATAACGAAACATTCTCTTTTGTTTCATTAACTATGTTAGTCACGAAATACGAAGTGGAAATCGAAGTGGAAATACGAAGTGGAATCGGGAACAGAGCGATGCAAGATAGAGTAGTGAATCGACGAATATTGCCCTAGTAACTTGTTTTGTCATTATTACAATGATTTTATCTTGCCGCATCTCTTTCTCTTTCTTTTTTCTACATATATATTTCTAATTAAAACTTTTTTAATAAGCGTCTTAACAGAATAAATTGTACTTGGAAATATAGTTATTACAAATACCGCGAGAAAACTTGAATTCAATCTTTTAGAAAATATTATATATCAATTTTAATTCTTTTCAGAAAAATTTCTATTAAAATTTTAATTATTAAGTAATTAAAAATTCTCAAAATTATTATAATCCACTTCAAATATTTCTTTCACAGTTATGATCCAATGATGTAATAAAAATATAATTTTAGTTATTATTTTTATATAATTTATATTATTATCTTTCTAGTTTTGTATAATAAATTATAGTATAGTTATACACAAAAATTAATTTTTTAATCACAGAGAAATTCTGATAAACTTGACAAAGATAAAATATTGTTCAAACTAACCCTCCTAATTAAAAAAATTTTGACTATGATTTATGAAATGTAACACAAAATTTATGATATTTTGCAAGGAGGAGAATGGAAGCGCATTTAACGTATTCCATCATACCTCGTTTCGTGGATGTGGCGGTCGGCATCGATGTGAGCTGCGACGAGATGCCAGCTCTATCAGTGGCAGTGATAGCCCACGGCCGAGTCTCGTGCCTCTTCGTCGTGGACCTCGTCGTCGTCGTCGTCGTCTTCGGGACGAGCCACTAACCTGGTAGTCATCTCCACAACGACGGCCAGTCGGTCATCGTTTAACGACCAAAGTACGTATGTTCTAAAGACACAGTAAAATTTTTCGTCAAAATATAAATATATTGATTGAATTGCTAAAGAATATATATTCATTTGCATCAGAATGTTATTTAATATAAACATAAATATTATATAATTATTTTCGAAATTGATAACTCTACTTTGGAAATTATTATACAAATGAGTGTAGTCGTTACGGTAATATTTATGTACAAATGCGACTATAATTGATTTGTGACTATAACTCTTTTCTTATAGCCGACATGATTGAGCTATCATCTATCTGCAATCGGATTGATGGTCGACGTGAAAACTAGCAAATGTTATGTATTGATTGTTTTACAGAACAATCTGTTACACATTTATAAGTTTATTCAAGTTCAATTGCATTTTTATCAAAAAATTGAATAATTCGTTTTAATATTTATATATGCAAAAGAATTTTTTATCGCTATAAATTTAAGTTTTTGTGATAGATAAAAATACATTCTTATAAATATTCTTAAAGATGAAAGTAGATTACACTCAAGGTTAACCTACTTAATAAATGTAAAATAAGTTACAACTTATTTTATTATACCAAACTTTAAGTTGAACGCCTACAATAGCGTCATCGACGAAAGTAAAAAGGTTTTTACCGCAAGAGGGAACAAAAGTTTGTTTTACTAGTGCTTCAAGCGTTAAACCTTAATGACAATTTCTTGTTCGCTTATAAAGTTAGAATCAACTTTTTACTATCTGGAAAACCAAACTGGCCATTCACAATATGCTTGGTTCGCATCTTCTTAACGGAATATTTTAAATATTTTTTTACACCAAGGGAAAGAAAGGATATTCATAATAAATATATTGTAAACACAATATCCAAAATTAATTTCAACGTTAATATCTTTTTATTATATCTATCCAAAATAATAATGCAATTAAACAATGAAATATAAATTATTTTATTTCATTCAAACGCTGAATATGCAATTTCTTGTTATGTGTCAACATGAGTGTCGTTATCTGTTTTTTTTAATTCAAAATATCAACGTGGAATATATGTCCGAAGATTTAATCCTACGGAATGGCTCAGTAACCTCGAATGATAACACGGCAGAAATGGCATCGAAAATTTTCGTGTCGCGGCAGAAATTGCATTCCTCCCTTCTCCCATCTGTGATCTTCCGCGGCCATTTCAATTTCGCGGGTATTCCCCGTTCCGGGTTATACGATCGATTGACGTGTCATAGAAAAATAGCAGCATGCAATTTACAAATTTTCCCGTTTGTATCTGTACGCATTCAATATTTTACAACTACGTTTAAGATATATCTTCACCGAATTAAAATTTGTTCGTAATTTTAGAAACAAAAAAATGAAAAAAAAAACTCTACGATATATTCAAAACGAGAACTTAGCTTTAAAATACAAAAAAAAAACTGTACTGATATTTGATCTCTTCTGTCATCATTTTCATTGAAAAATAAATTTGCATTTACATATAATATAATCAATCATAATAAATATTATAGTTTATAAAAATAACTATCATTATATTTCCCATACGTTATGGCAACTATTTTTCGTTATTTTTCTTCCTCGCGTATAGTTTCTTCTTGAGAAATTTCTCATTCTCTGTGATATTGCTGTAACGATCGCTATATATATAGTAAGACGTGCAACTATGTGCTATGCATTTGCATATACTAACGGAGTTCAATAGAACTAGTGCATAGCTCTGCAGATATTACAAATTGATACGTTTGACAGATATATATCTATATTCACAATAATAAGAAAACGATGAGGTATAATCACAATAATGGATAGTAATGGATATAACGCGCTGTCAGAGATATTAAGGATTTATTTATGACATCGTAGGATGGCGCTAAAGTGTACAAGCGACAGTGTGAAATCTGAATTCCATCGTGCCAACCAACGCGAAAAACTCTCCAGGTAAAGATTGATTTTCAATCACGTACCAACGATAATCTTAAAAAGCATTTCAACCGGCAAGTGACTTTTTCAAAGTCATTTCGTTTGCGCGTGATGAAGAGTGCAAGATTAGAAGAAAGAGAAAATAAAATGAATGTACTTGAACCCCCAATTTATTTCTAAAAGAATTTAGTGAAATATAAATCTTCTTTCAATAAAATTTTTATAGACAACGATGATTCACGGTTAATTTTATTTTTATGTGTTACCAACATTCATTATTTTGTGTAAGTATTAATTATATGTAAATATAAAATTTCTATCATGAATTATTCTTCTATCTTAAACTTAATCAAAGAATTAAATTTGACTGTTTGTTTGTCAAAGCTTGATTGCTTGATTGCAAAATTTTTTGATTTTTTAATATTGATTTTATAATTTATAATTTTTTCTTTATGTATATATGATCAAAAGAATATCTTTCACTCCTGTGATATATATATCGAGCGTACACACACACACACACACACACACACACACACACACACACACACACACACACACACACACACACACACACACTAC